GGTTTGGGGTTCTAGGGTCGAGAGTTGAGTGCTTGAAAAGCCTTATAAGCCCCAAAGACAAGACACCCCTTAGACTTCCGGCCCCTACTCTAAGCCTAAATAATTATCAATACTATGTTGCGGGTTCCTTATTATATTTATTATACAAGAATGGGGCCCAAAACCCTATTCTAATTATTAAGGCCCCTATATTAACAGAAAATGACTGGCACCCTGATACCCTTAGCACTTCGTGACACCCGAGCACCAAAAATTAACCCCAAACGCCTCAGTGACCCTGAGTTTTGAGCCTGTAAGCCCTGAATCCTTACGTACCCTCCTCTCCAACAGAAACTTTCCCCAAACCTTATCAGCCCTCAACCCGAAACCCTAAACCCGCCCCTGAGCCATCGAACGGTCAGGAGCGGCGAGCTCCTGCTGAAAGAGTCAACCCTTGAGTCGACTCAGTCGACGTTAGCGTAGGGTTTAGGGTTTAGGGTTTTAGGGTTTAGGGTTTAGGGTTTAGGGTTTAGGGTTTAGGGTTTAGGGAGGCTTTGATTCCCTCCCTAAACCCTAAAGTGTCGTACGGGGCCTCTTTTTCGGGCTCCCGGAAGCGTTTTGAGAGGGACTCCTGTGATACGGATTTTATTCCCCAAACAGTGTGGTAACACCATGAGGTTCTCAGGCTTATAGAACATAGAAAGTTCGTTTTTAGCATATCCGCGCGGCGCGTGCGCAAAAAACGTTGCTAATTACGCAGGATCCGTGGCTTCGGCTGCGGTAGGGTGCGTACTTTCCCTGCTGTCCCATTGTTTACAGATGGATTTGGTCTCCTTCCGTCTCCGGAAGGGCCGGATTCATTGTAAATTACACGAATTACATGCGGGTCGTTCTCTAAATTTAGGGTCCCTTTTAATTTGAGTCCCTTTTATAAGGGTGCCGTGGCATATTGGGGACCTAAAAAGGGACCCCTATTTAGAGAAGTACCTATGGACTAGTTTTAGTGGCAGCATCTGCTGCTGGTTTCGTGCTGGCAGAAGCCGGCTGTCATGGGCATTGGCAAAACCCTTTCGCTCGAACATTCGTGGGCGTTGGCAAAGAACTTCGGCGAAACCTGCGTGGACATATGCAATACCGATGAGGGTTCGGGTTAGGATGCATTAGGGTCTCGTTTAGAGTTTGACTGGGGTTTCGACTGCCATGTATTTTTGCCTTTAAACCCTAAACCCTACACCGTATGCATGGGTTCCGAGTGTGTTGCGAATCTTGAGTCTTTGATAATTAGCAGGTCCGGGGACATAGTAGGTAGGTTGATATGTACCCAAATTATGGTTGGGGTTCAGGGTAGAAACCAGTATAGTTGCTTTGAAATTTGCTTATATACTGCCCTACTTATATGTGCCCTGATCCTCAGTACATCAATGTGCTGCCCAAGAGACAAGTCAAGTCCACCATAACCCAATGTATGCGTAGGGAAATGGGGATTCGGGGACGACAGTTTAAGGTATATTTTCTTTGCTCCCTGTTAGAACCCTCATACTTGTAGCTCCTTTACAGAACCCTGGTATATTATTTCAGCCCTAAGGCCCTTTCCCGAACGAACCCTTCGACCGAAAGCCCTTCAACCTTGAATCCCGGAGCCTTGTACTCCCCGTGTACCAGGACTCCCCGAAGTACCCTTTAGTAGAGCCCTTATGGTCCTTGATAGTGGGTACTTAGAGTATGTTAGAGGGTAGTTCGGGGGTCTAGGGTAGAGCCCTCTTAAACACCAGCAAGACCTTTCGAAGCCTCAAGTAAAGCCCTCATATGAAAATTCTACAGCCCTTCAGAATCCTATACAACCCCTATAACAGACCTGTGCGGAATGGCGCCCTCGAAGACGCTTCAAAATCCTCCCTTCAGCCTGCACGACTTTCACCCTTAACCCAAAGCCCATGGAGCCCGAGTAACGAGACTCCTTCAGCCCTACTCCAAGGGTCCAAAGGACCCCATAATCATGCGCTTTGGTTGCGGATGGCGTTTTCTAGGTTATAATATTTGGGAGTATATGATTATTCGGCACTTGGGCCCTTAGGGCTACACCCTCTGGTTTAGCGTTGACGGTAATGCTCTGCTGTGAAGGATTTACTTAAAGCTCCCACAAAACATAAACCTCAGAAGCCCAAAGGGTAAACGCACCTGACCCCTTAATAAATTACGGTTTAGGGTTTAGGCTTTAGGGTTTAGGGTTTAGGGTTTAGGGTTTAGGGCCTTAATAAAACAACACAACCCTGAAACCTTCGCCCTGAACATGGTGTCCGGCCATGCCCTGGCCTCCTGCCCGCCTGTGCGTTGGGACCAAAACCGCTCAGAGGAGGCGACTTGCACTGAAACCGTAGGGTTTGTGGTTAATATACGGGCGTTAATAGTTAGAATAGGGTTCTGGGGCATACGGGCTCAGGTCTTAGGATTTTGGGATCTTAGTGTGTTTGCCATTAGGGTGGGCAGTTCGGGGTTTTGGTCTTGGTGTTTATGGTTGTAGGGCTACAAAGTTTGATGTTGAAGGGATTGGGGTTGGCGTTTTTGCTTGGAGGTTTTCGTATTTGCGCTCAGTTGGCAATGAAGGACGGGCCCGTGTAGTCTAGCCACCCTAGTGGACCCTATGTAGGTTCCTTTCACTCCCGTTGTACTGTCTGGAAGCCTTTCTTATAGGAGCCTCGGTTCCTTGCTAGTTATCCTTGAGAAGATACCTGCAACCCGACATCCGAAACGCTACCTCAACCCTGAACCTTGAAGAGGCTCTGTCAACCAGCCTTACGCGAACTGAACGAACCCTAAGACCCTAAGACCCTAAACTCTAAACCCTAAACCCCTAAACCCTAAACCCTAAACCCCTAAACCCTAAACCCTAAACCCTAATACCTATAGGTAAGTCCTACATCCTCCGCTTCACCCGAGCCTGCAGTTCCATACTGGATTCTTGTTATAAGGGGTTTGATTAAACTTACCATCAGAATAAAGAAACCACATTAGCTATTTAAGATCCCTATATTGTGGTAACTTAAATCAAACTGCTTAACAGAAACCCAGCATACCCTGTAAGCCGCAGACACTTGTTGGGCTGCGGAGCTTCCTCTTCTAGCCCTAAACCCTAAACCTTAAACCCTAAGCAGTGGGTCAGGTGTACTGCGACGAGATCTCATGCCAAACTCCTCGCAACATCGGGCTGAGGAGCGTGGTGAGTGCGCAATTGGGTACTAACTTCGGGTCTCTTTACAGGTCCCGCAAAAAGTATACGGCATTCCTATAAAAAGGACCCTAACAAGGGACCCTAATTTAGAGAACTACATTTTTTGCTCTAGTTACACTAGCTTCGAGGAGTGTTGCATGTTGGCACATAAGTTACATGGTCCCCCCTAGATTGACCAACCCTATACTTGGACCCCATGAGAGGCCCTTACTACAAAATGTTGCAGGTTGTCCTGGTGTTCCTTTCCTCCACCGGTTGCTATGGGATGCCCATCTTCAACTGTAGTATGATATATGTATAATTATACACATTACCCAAACCCCAAACCCTGAACCCTCATTGCCATTCGGCCAGTTCCTGTACATAGCTTTTTCAGAACCTGAAAAGACCCTACCTCACTAAAGCCCGGACGCGTCACCCTAATGCTGAACTGGGGCTAGGAATAGGCTTAGGAACGGTATATCTATATCTAAGTGTACGTGGAAGGCGTGGATGCCTGTCTCTATGTGTATTATTGTGCATCTGCATGTGCATATAATATCTATGTGTTGAATGTGCTTGTACATGTAGACGTATAGGGGCCTCCATAGTTAGTACCAGAACTTTTCTGGGGTTTTCTTATTCTAAATTTAGTAGAATATACTCCCAAACCCCAGTCTAATTATTATGGCCTCTTTACTCAACCCTTAAAGTGCCCTCACAGTATCTCACCTTAAAGGAACCCCTAAACCCAAAGCCCTAAA